AACGGATTTTAATATAAACTGATTAGAAAAAATTTTTTTTTTATTTTCATATTATTAAATAATACGTACGTAAATAGATATTTTTTGTTATTTCCTTCAAAAGATTACAATAATAAACTTATTAAAAATAGAATGTAAAAGTTTACACTGAGAAAACAATTGCCAGCCTTATTGTTAAAAGTGAGTCCAGGGAACCTTTGGATGGAGAAGAGTAATTATAAACAGTGGGACTGGAGGCAGAAAACTGTTCATTTTTTCAAATACATATAGAGATATAGTAAGTACAATAATGTGAATATATAAATGTACATAAAAATTTCATCAAAAGCTTTAGTTCATTAGTTTCATTTGCAAATTAAAATAACAAGTTGTTTCCATAATTGAAGTCGGTTTTTTACAACACAATTATATTCTCAGAAGAGAATATGTAATAATTCGTCTTATTTTAAAAATCAAATCTTTATAACAATGTTCAGACAAAAATCATAATCGATCACTTATTATTATGAGTACTAACAAATAGTTTAGCAACGATGCTTATTATTGTGTATAACACTATAAACATGCCCCATTATAGTAATAATAATAAAGCCTTCATTCTCTGACCACATTTTTACTTTAACTTACATACTACTTATTACTAAGCTAGCTTTCTAACAACCATTATGTTGGTCAAGTTGTCTGTCGACATAGGCCTCCCCCAACTGCTTCCACTTTCCCCTATCCCTAGCTGACTTTCTCCATCCTTTAGGTAAAACATGCCACATTTGTTAAACATTGTCATGTAGACAATGACGTTAAACCAAATTTTCCTTCATATTACCGAAAGTTGTAAGGTATGCAGCCATTGTAGAGTTTAGGTATTAATTATAAAAAGTTAACAGACTGTGAAGATTGACAGGGATCAGTTCAAGTACGGGTAGTGAGAAGAATACCTTTATTAAAGATACTTTTTTTGAGAAAATATATTGCACAAGGAAAAAATAACTAAGTATTTAATATATTTAGTTATTTTTTTTCTTTTTTATGTGGCTGCGATATTTTCAGTAAAAGTAATGTACACCTTACTTCTGATAATGAGGATGAAGCGATTACAATATTTAAGAAGGTACGTGCACTAACTTGATGGAATCTCATGCGTCGCACCGCTTTCCATCTTGTGTTGACTGGATGCTTTTATAGATTCTAGTTAGGTAGGCCTACACAAATATCTTTGAATATATACAATATTCGACCTTTAATATGAAGAAGATCTCCTAGTTCACTGTTCGGTTATGTGCTCTTGATTCGCGACGGTGCGTGATCTCAAACCGAGTGTAAGGGCGAGTTCACTAACTGCCCTCCAACTTAATAATAATGTAATTTAATCATATCCGTGAGGTGTGTGGACATTCGATTAAGAATCGAATAATCGATCAATTGAAGCGCCGCTTGGGATACATAATTACATACATAATTCCGCCCACCAAAATTCGATAGTAATTTTCTTAACAAAGACAAAAAAATAACGATACTGTAGCTTAAGATAAAATTGAGTACAACGATATAATACATATACTAATTGCTAATGATAATATATAGTTATGATCTAAATAAATATATGATAAACAGGAGTAATTTACTAGAATGGTTCATTTGGTAAGGGACATAGCTTGCGATTTATTTGAGTCGGTAAAGTGTATCACAACTGTGTGCTTCGCATTTAGAGTGTAAAAAATCTCTAACTATTTTATAAGAAGGTATTTGGATATGTGAATACTTTTCTTCAAACTCACGACATGTCTTAGTATCAAGTTTCGGTAATAGATGATAAATAAAATCAAAATTCCACTCTTGAACGAGTAAATTTACCTGTTGTAATATATTTAAGTTTTCATCGATCATGTCTAGTGAGCGACGAAACTCCTTTACGTTATTAATTTTAAATTCCACATTTAAAATTTCACGCCAACAGGTAAACGCTAAATCATGCTTGTCCCTATAACTGTTAACTAGTGCGTTATATGCGTCGATATAATATTCACCGGCTACAGGGTAGGCTCGTATCAACGCTAAAGTATCGCCTGAGAGTGAAGATGTCAAATATTGAAAATTTTCCATATTACTTAATGAGGTATTCTCGTTTATTAAAGAATTGAATGTATTTATGTATTCTGTCCAGCATTTAATATTACCTGAGTACATGGGAAGAGTGAGTTTGGGTAATTTTATATGTGAAGAACTGTTCTGTTCCGATTTATTCCGTGTCTTATATTTAGTATATGTACGTTGCAAGGCTAGAACATTAAAATACATATCATCAAAACTCTCACGAACACCTTCATCATCGGACTCTGAACCATCATGTAAGTCCAGAATGAGGAGATGTACATTCTCGAAATCGGTAGAAATTTTCTGTAATTCGTTATAGTGCGAAAAAAATAAATCCAATTTAGTTACATCTAACTTCGCGTCATTGCCTATTTGCAATGCCTTAGATAAACAATTAAACGCGATAGTATGTTTTCTTCTTAATGATGGCAAATTACGAGTTGTGTGTTCTTCATACTTCGATTTACTGCGCTTTGACAGACTAAGTTTACGTTTATTATTATTAACAGACATCGTGCAAAAACGATCAATTTATAAGTTGTTTACAAATTTAAACAATGAAGAACAAGTCTATAAATAGATACGAGATTGTTCGAAAACCAAAACAAAAAATAAAAAAAACTTTATGTAGACAGAAGTTATTACAAGAATATTATTGTAACAATAGAATATTTATAAATCCACAAAAGGTATTGAGTTTATATTAATTTTATGATAAAATATGATTTATAATATAACGAAATTAATAAATGAGTATAAATTTATATGTAATTGGAATATGTAAAGTCCCAATGCAACGATTATGATCTATACAGCCGATATTTAGGTATTACGAGATTTATTTCCCGGGTTTTGGCACCAAAAAGAATGTACGGACACCGTTAAGCGGTGGAAATTTGTTTGTCCTTACTTCTGATAATGATGATGAAGCAATTACAATATTTATGAAGGTACGTGCATTTACTTAAAGGAATCTCATGCGCCGCACTGCTTTCCACCTTGTCTTGACTGGATGCTGTTATAGATTCTTGTTTGGTAGGCCTACACAAATATCTTTAAATATATACAAAATTTGATCTTTAATATGAAAAAGATCTCCTAGTTCACTGTACGGTTATGTACTCTTGATTTGCGACGGTACGTGATCTCAAGCCAAGTCTCCAACTTATAATAATAATGTAATCGCTTCATATCCGCAAAGTATATGTCAATAGGTCTATCGTACCAAAAGCGTAACATTAGCTTAGTATAGTATACAGGAAAGGGGTTTCCTTGAGTCTTTTTTTATAAGTATATTTAGAATATCTAGTATCCAGAAAAGATAAAATTAAAAATGAGTACATCTGTGGCACCTTCAAGGTTACTAGTTTACTAGAAAAATTAAGAGAAAACCGCCTGCACTGGTACGGACATGTTATGAGACGAGACATGGTGATCATCTGATTAAAAAGGTGATAATAATGGGATAAGGAAAGAAGTGCCGTGCTCGACCACCAATGACATGGTTGCAAACAGTAAAGAACGACATGAAATGTGCAAACACGGGCCAACAAATGTCCCATAACAATACGGTGTGGCACAAGACTACTAGGAGGGCAGATCCCGAATAAACTGGGATAATAGCCAGGAAAAAAAGAAGAATATTTAGAATACTATAATCAGCCGGTAATATTGTGTCACGGTTGCTCTACTCACGGCTCACGTAATCCTGGAATGTGGGGCTGTGGCCCATCAACGTTTAGAAATCCTCGGAACGGTGAGGTCGCTCCGTGAGGCCAGTGAAGAACCCAGGAAGCTTCTGCGCTTCTGGGCGGAGCTAGGTTGGCTGCACTATATTTTTTTTTTTTATACAACTTAGAATGGCAAACAAGCTGACGGCCCACCTGATGGAAAGTGGTAACCGTCGCCTATAGACATGAGCAGTACCATGGACATAACAGAGTATACTGTTTCGCCAATGATACTCCCCATGCGTTGCCATTCCTGAGGACTCAGGTGTTATTCCTCTGTACCCAGTAAAATCACGCCATATCCAACCCTTCAAACCGAAACACAGCCATGCAAACACAACTGCTTCACGGTTGAAACACGAGTGGGACAGAGGTACCCAAGCAATCGACTTTTGTACAAAGTCTCCCTCTGGTAAACCGAGTTGAAATTGTACAAAATGAATGTAGACCCTTTCAACTAATAAAAGATCAAAACTGATTCAGAATTAGTGAAAATATTACGTAATTTACATAATAAAAAAGGCTTATCTATCGCTACGTACATTTTAAACTAGAATTGGAACTTTTATGATTAATAGTACTCATTAGTAACATTAAAACAGCGAAGTTTTAGCCGTCGACATTAATAATTTTCAAGTAAAAGTTTCATAAAAATTACAAACGTACGAAATAAATTTTTACATTTTCTCAGCACTAATCTGTTATGTTCGCTTGAGTGAAACTCAGATAAATAACTATAGGTTTTTATTACAGAACAGAATTATTGTATTACTAATTTATACATAGTATAGAGAGTTTAAAATCAATAAATGTTATTACAACCCACCTGCTTTTATAAAAAAAAAAAACTTGATAAAAGAAATTTATTACTTTGAAAGATGAAAAAATTTAACTTAAAAAAGTGCCATTTGTTCGATTAGTGACTTTTTTATGGTTTAAATATAAATGATGTATTTATAAGTGAGAATACTTATTCTATTCGAGTTATATTCAGTTAAATTAAGTTTCTCATTTCCTTTCAGAAAGAAAAAAACTAAAATAGGAACAACCTTCTTTCTGAAGTCATTTGAAAAAAATTTAAAATATTTTAAAATGTTTTTATGTTTGCTATTCCCGCTTAAACGGATATTTTATATCCTAACTTAATACACAAGTACTTTATATATATTATATACTTACTTGGAGGATAATCCCTGTAGCTGATATCGGAGTAGACGGCGAATGGTGAGGCGCAAACCACCGATATTACCCACAAGATGAGTATAATCCGCGAAGCCCTCGTGAGGCCAGCCATTGCATACAGGTGTAGTGGGTGACAAATAGCCAGGTATCGCTCCAAGGAGAACGCTGATATCGTCAGCACCGATACATACGTGGCCCTGCAAAGGAATATTCAGTTATTTTTTGTTTTATTTATTAGACACATTTTTTAATTTTATTTATTCATAAACAATAATTTGTATTTGAATGCCCATAGTTACAAGAATAATTTATTACTTATAATTTTATACTCATTTCATATAATACAACAATAAATTAAAGTTCGTATAAAATTGCTTAAATACTAATACTAATTATAAGTAATCCCCCAACGCACAACACCGAGGCAGCGTACCCATACTGGCAGTATACTCTTTGGATTGCCAAACTTATCTTTTGGGCAAAGTAGCTACCAGCTCTTGGGTCCCATAGTAAATACAATAAAATACATAAGCAATATATGAAAAATAAAATAAAGTTAAATACAAAAACAAAAATTACGAACAATACATAGTCAATTTAGAGTCATCTCTTGTATCTCATCATCTCTCTCTCTCTCTCTATATATATATATATATATATATATATATATATATATATATATATATATCCGAAAGTTATAATTCGTCAATTGAGTACAGACACTTCTTTATAACCATAAAAAGATCATAACCTTAAATAATAGTTACATTTGTAAAACAAATAGGGTACAATCTTATTAGATTATGTGCACTACTTAAGTAAAGTAAAAACAGTTTACAGTTTACACTAGAGTGTAAACTGTAAACTGTAAGCTATTCACACACGCACATATATAAGAAAATACAGAAAAAACTATGAAAAATTATTCCATGTGTAAAATTTATATTTCAGCAATATTTTAGTTTATTTAATTTATATTTTAGAAATTAGATGCCATTTTAGAACTTGCCATCTCATTCGCAAGTAGATCGTTGGTTCTCAATTTAAATTCTAATTTTAAATTCTTGTTCTGTGACCTTATTTATATTAATGTCAAACTAAATTAAAAAGAGATTGAGAATAGTGTCTACGTTCTCCTTACTATTAAAAACGTTGGCACTTGAAGTAAATAATCATATAATATATTAAATTCACAGATTAAATTCCTTAGAGGTATTGTATTTTTCCACACCACACTTCATGTGGCATTTAGAAGAAATACAAAAAATATAATACCTTATAATACTTATAATACCTTATAATAAAATAAAAAATACATTTTTAAATATTTCTATAATTATGTTTTGAATGACTTCGATAAATAATATCTTAGCGTCTTTTTGACGTAGAATATTTCTATATTATATATTTACCTCCTTACTGATACGTTATAATACATGTATTATTTATAGTGTTCATATTTATAAATGTGAAAGTGAGTTTGTTTATTGTTACTAAGAGGTATATACTAAGAGGTTATTGGCTCAATCGATTGTAACGAAATTAAGTATACACATAATATTTGGAATGGAGAAGGTCGTTGGTCGTAAAAAAATATTAAAAACTGTTCATTTAAAATATACAGACGAGTTGAAAACCCGCTTCTTTTTGGAATCGTTTAAGAAATTTGAACTAGATATTTAATATTTTGCTTTTAATAAAACAATTATTTTAACAAATAGTTTTTTAACATCAATTAGCACAGTAATATTAAATGTCCACTGTTGAACATATTCCTCCCTATTGGATAGTTTTGTCAGTAGTTGCTACGCCTGATAGGCGAGTTGACAACCCTAATTAGGTGGGGGAAAGGGATTGTTAGTAATGGAGACTGAGAATCCCATTGCTAGCAATATACCCAACCAGGTCGACTTCACGCGGTTTCCCCTAGAAACTATCATGGGTAATTCCTGATGAATTCATCATAATAGGCTAACTGACCTGTTTTCATTCTCATCGATCATCCTTCACTGGTGCCCCGCCAGCGTATACCGTTAGCGCAGGCGAGCCTTCCATTCCATTTTCACCCATAAAAAAAAACCCTAATTAGGTTTTAAAGATGTTTTACGAGGAACACTGCAGCCCATCCCTCCACTATTAAATTTCCTTAGTCGCCTTTTACGACATCCATGGAAAAAGAAAGAGTGGCCCACTCTATACTGAGACGGCCAATATACCTAAATATACATATATAGGATAGTAATATCACTTGATAATTTATTACGAATAATTTGGAAAAATATATATAAGCTATTATTCTTCATGATTGAGAAATGGCATATTCTTTTTTTTATTTTTTTAAGAGTTTCCTCTTGTCGATGCAACTAATTCGTGCATCTTCTTCCAGCCAGCTCTATCCCAGGCCATATCCCTGAACTCCCTATACGAAATGACACCTAGTGTTTCTTTTATCTGTCTCATGTAGTTATTCTTCGGTGTTCCTTTTCCTCTTTTGCCCCCTATTTTTCTTTCTACTATGCTCTTTAAAAAATCGTCATGTCGTATAAGATGGCCCAGCATTTTGTCTCTTCCATTCTCTATTGTTTTTATTAATGTTCTCTTTCTCTTCTCTGTCCCATCTTCTGTCCTCGTTTCTCATTCACCCTTTTTAAGACTTCCACATTCTTCAGCTTTTCTATTCAGCTTAACCATTCCATTCTCCTCCATGTCTACATTTCGAATGCCTCAAGCATCTTTTTTTCCTTTTGCGTCATTGTCCATGTTTCACACTCATATAATAAGTTTTTATAAATTTCTTAAGGATTATTTTTGATGCAAATTTATGTATTTTTGTTATCATAGGCCTGCTTTGAGACCGTTATTCTAAGCATGTTACATATTATGTATGTAAAATTATTCATGTTAAAATTATGATTAGCTACACAAACGTTTTGCTAATATCACGATCGCGACATCAACCCTTCATGTGTTATTGTAGGTGCATGCAATACGATCTTATATTAATAGCAATTACACGCGATTAAATTTACCGTCAAATTTGTAACGGTCTTTTAAAATTTAGGAACATAGCCTTTTCTAGTTGATTTTAAGGAATATTATTTGCATAATAAAAGTAATGACTGTGTTTAATGTATAATTTACATTATTTGATTAATTTTTTTCTTTACTGAACATCAACCAACAACTAGAAAATTTCATAATAAAAAAAAGTCAGTAAAGATAAAAAGCCAATTACAGGTTTTCATAAATAAAAACAAGACTTAACTAATGCTCATGACATCGTTAATACTTACAATTAACTAAATTAAACTTAAAGTAACAACATTATAACAATAAATTAAAACTACTATAAGCTAACGTCGTACGAGGCAAATAATGGTGTACAATTTTAAAACAATTACTTAGTTAAAAAGATTCTTAAAGTGCCTAGCTATGCTTAAATAAATAGTCTGCTAATTCTTAGTAATATCGCAGTATAAGTAATAGATAGTACTAGTAATAATATTAATAAAATAAAAGTGACTTTGTTTGTTACCTCTTAGTGCCTTAACCTTTTCAGCTCGCGACCTTATGTATAAATATATTTGAAGCTCGCAACCCTAATGTTTTAATGTTCCAGTGATAATAAAGTTATAGGGTTAACTATAGGACGTGGTTTAATAAAATAATATCATTATAAAATATTAAAAATAAAGAAAACCAAAATAATTCATTTTTTGTTGAAATAAAATGTGCTGTTCTTCATTTTTTAAAATGTCATTTGGAGAATTCCTGCAACTCAATACCGTTTACGACCTGAATTTGCTAAACTATGGTTAAACAATCACAATATTTTTTTAATGCGTGAAAATGGAATGATAACTTTGTCTACGCTATTGGTATACACTGGCCTGATAGGTGAGGATTAAGGCTGGTTAGTTGACCAATCGTGAAGAATTCAACAAGAATTAACCATGATGGTTTCCATGGAGAATCGTGTGGAGGTCGACCTGTATAGGGTATATTACTCGTAATGGGGCTATTAAAATCCTTTACTTATAATCCCTTTCCGCCATCACAATAAAGTTTGGTACACAGATACTACATAGAATGAAACTAAAGTTACTTTTCATCACAGGCTGTGAACATATCCCGGACAAAGTCGCAAGTTAAATTTAGTACAGTTATAAATTAATGACGTAGCTGTGTGATAGATGCTTGTATCAAGCGAACCGAAACTATCAACATAGAAGTTTCGTCAATAACTCGCTGATGTAATCATGACACAGTTAAAAACTTGGATTTGAATAACCCTAACGATACTAACTTTATTATGTCTTGTCGTTGAAGCTAATAAATAATTAACGGGTAAACAACTCAGTACGGTTTTTTCTTATTTTTTTAAGGGATGAAAATGAAATTCTGAATCCATTCGCGCTATCAGTATATACTGACACCAGAGAGGAACTATAAGTGAGTATGAAGCAGTGTCAGTTGGCCCATAGTGACAAATTCAACAATTATTAATCAAGATGAATTCTAGGAGGAATCACATGGAGGTTGACCAAATAGGGTATATTTTTTTTAATGGATGATAATGGAATGGTAACCCCGCCTGCGCTATCAGTAGACACTGGCAGGGCACCAGTAAGGGATGACAGGTGAGAATTAAGCAGGTCAGTTAGCCCACCGAATCTAACAATAAATCAAACACGATGGTTTCCCTGGGAAACCTGAGGTCGACCTGATATAGTATATTGCTAGCAATGTGACTACTAATCCCCATTACTAAAAATCCCTTCTCCTCCCCAGGGTATATTATTATCAGTCCCATTGCTAGCAATATATCCCATGACTAGCAATCCCTTTCCCTCTTCTCAGTGCGATTGGTTACTCAAGTGAGTCTAAGAATCCCAAAAACTTATCTAGGGGCCTGAACTATAATATATGAGTTACTTAAGTAGCTATTGCTCGCGGATTGGCACGCGTGGTATTGTCTTTTGAATAATAAAAAAATATATAGAGTTACTTACTTACCACTTACATTATCTATAACCTAAATTACTGATAACATTTCTATAGGATCAATCTGTAAGTATATCCTTTCATATAAAAAATAATTGTCCAAATCGGTTTAAAACTAATGGGGTTATGAGGTAACAAACATAAAAAAAACAACAGAATTGGGAACCTTCTTTTTGAAGTCGCTTGAAAATAA